ATCTTTCTTCTATCATTGACAGTCCCTCTAGGTTGTGGGCTGCTTGCCTGTGTTCCTGAGAAGCATCTACGGTACCAGTCTATAGAGTGTGTTTTCTTTAGTGAATTACCGGTATGTTTACCGGTAATAAACTTGCACTGTTTTATGTATATGTTTGATTACATACAGCCTTGTGACAGTTTTCCTGCATGTCATAAGCATTTGAATATAAATTAAAATGTTAAAATCAAATCTGATATTGTTTTACCTTTTATTTGGTGTGTGGAAGATGTGCAGAAGAGGGGGTACTCTTATACGGCGAGTATATAACAAACTCTGTATTTTGAGTGGAAATGTTAGGGGGTCGTCTTATACGCCCAGTCGTCTTATACGCCGGCAAATACGGTATATACAACTATGGATAAAATGAAGGACTTACCTCCTCTACAGACACAGGCAGGATGACTCGACTGTAAGAGAGGGAAAACAAGTTCAGGCTCTCAAACCTGCCCAAGGCTCTTAAAGCATCATTTTAGAATAGTATTAAACATTTTGTTGCACATGACACTACACTCACTGTCAAAAACCCAGCAGAGGCCCTAACTGGTTTGGCTCAGTGGATAGAGCGTCGGCCTGCAGACTCAAGGGTCCCAGGTTCGATTCCGGTCAAGGGCATGTACCTTGGTTGCGGGCACATCCTCAGTGGGGAGTGTGCAGGAGGCAGCTGAATCGATGTTTCTCTCTCATCGATGTTTCTAACTCTCTCTCCCTCTCTCTCTGTAAAATATCAATAAAATATATTAAAACAAAACAAAAAAACCCCAGCAGAGAATGGCCCCAAGTGCTTCAAGGCTAGGACGCTCTGTGCCCTTCTGGTATTCCATTTAGGGCTCTGTGATTCAGTGCAAACCTGTCCCCCCATCAGCTACTTCCCAGGAGGCTTCTGATTCACATTCAGAAATGTCTTCTCCCTCTCCTCCACTAATCTCCCTGACAAAACCTGCCAATGAGAGCAGCTAACATAGGAGGACCCACCCCTGCAAACTCTGAAGCCAAGATGAGGATTCAGACCCAAAGAATTAGGCCCTTGGAATTTACACATGTGTGGACCCAACCCTCAAGGTGAAAGGGTAGGAAGGGGTCAAGCTTCTTGGAGGCTGAATCACTCTAAGAGCATCCTCCAACCAGGATATTACAATACAAGCAACTACCACAAAGCCACCAAGATAGGACACCCAATTTGTGTCCTGGCTTCCAGAACCTATCCAAAGGCACCCCAACTGATCACTGTCTTTTCCTTCTCCACTTCAATGACCACCAATCATTGGAGGTACCACCAAAAATCTGATGGAGAAGCCACGACCAGCAAAGTCCCCACGCTGGTCAGAACTCCACATTGGTATGACGCTTAGCAACACTCCTCCGCGTGCCTTGCATTGTCAGGCAGAGCAACAGCCACCCCTTAGTTCAAAGCTGTGAGTGAGGTCAGAGGGCTGACACAAAAATGCTTAGCTGTATTCATATAAAACCAGCCCACTTCCATGCTGAGATGTCAGTTCCCAGGCCCTAGCTGGTACCCCCTGGAGCCTCCTGTATGTTGGGTGCTTGCTGAAGCATGAGCTGCTATGCCCTCTGTCCTATGCAGTGGTTTCACCAATTAGGATTCTTGCTCTAGGCTGGTAAACAGTCTGCTTACTATTTTCTATTTCCACAAAGATCCCCCAGGTAGCAAGAAGCACACAGAGGGGCCTGAGAACAACATCACGCTATGGGCAAAACACAGGCAGAAAAGTAGCAGGAAAAACAAAATGGGCTCCAAGTCTTTACTGCCTGCTAACTCCCCTCCTCCAGAATGACTCAAACAATGTAAATCCTGCAGGTTATTGGATGCTGCTACTAATGTTCTCCTCCCATTAGAATAAGCTGACAATGCAGAAAAATATTTCCAACTTGGAGGCCACAATTTCAGCACCCTCAGTAGAAACTTCCTAGAAAACAATCAGCCTTTTATCTTCAAGAACAGCATTAAAAATCACATCCAAGAATTTGCAGAAATCAAATCAAGGAGAATCTTGTTAGAGGAAGTATCAGAAACATCAACAGGGACAACCTTCAGACCCTGGATGGGCACCAAGTCTACCCCCGCCCCCCAAAATGAGAAGGGCATCAGCCAGTTCCTGACAGGATGCTCTGAGGCTGCTGACATGACAGCTGCACACCCAGACATTTCTCCCTGGCTCCTCGGGAGCAAAACCACCCAGCAGCAATAGGGTGCAATTCCAAAGGAGAGGGCCACAGCAGCAGTGCTGGGCTGAGACTGGAGCTGTGCTCACTTCAGTGTGACCTTCACTCACACCCTTCCCAGAGCTGCAGTGCTGCAGCCACAGCCAAGCGTCTCGGATGCCCCTCTCCGTGTCCCCTGCCCAGGAACGTCATACATGCCTGAGCACACACAGGGCACAAGTCAGGCAGGAAGGAAACGCACAGGCCAGGGAGGCTCTGCATCCCAGCACCTTGGACCTTTCCCTAACAGGCTTCAAGGGGAGGAGAACAAAGAATGGGGAGAGAGGCCCTCTCTTTGAAACTCACTCGGATCCCTTTTGAAGATCCCTTTCCCTGCCTGACCACCTTTACAAAACTACAGGTTTCTGCAGATTCTCAGAAAAAGGGATCAGGAAAATGGGAAAAGCCGGTTTTCTGGACAGTCAAGATTAGAATCCGAAGTGCACCATGCTCTCTTCCTGTTGACATCCAAGGTTCTTCCTCCTCTCCCCATAAAGCTCTGGCTGAGTCAACATCAGACTGGCTACCAAGAAAGTCAGGTAGAGGGCTTCAAAATCATACTCTTTAGCTGGGAGGACACGAGTTTCTGCTCCCTTTGCCATCCAAAGCTCCCTACTATGTCCTAAACACTTCCCAAGAGCCGTCAGACAAAGTGCCTTCACCCACAACATGGAAACAGCCCTTCGCACACCTGCCTGGCTACCAAGTGAGTTCCACCAGTTGCTCTTTACTTGGACATCTCACTCCCAAAATTCCTGGGCTTCCGGCCCAATGCTGTCCACCTGCCCTCCCCTGGAGGGAAGCACAGTTTTACTGTAAATGCCACACACACACACACATTTAATCTTCTCCTCTTTGGAAAGGAAAAAAAAAAGTCCCGAGATGTTTCCTTGGAACTATGAGCCTCAGGGATGGGGCATCTCACATTTGAAAAATTCAGCAATGCAGACATCCCCACCCGTCACCCAATCTCCTGGACTTCGGGGACAAGCCCATCACCCGGCACCTCCTCCCGTAAGTCACTAGTTTCCACCCCCTACCTAGTCACTACTCAAGAGCTGCTTCACCTTCACTGTCTTCATCTAATGCAGTGGTTCTCAACCTGTGGGTCGCGACCCCTTTGACGGTCCAACAACCCTTTTACAGGGGTCGCCTAAGACCATCCTGCATATCAGATATTTACGTTACGATCCATAAAAGTAGCAACATTGCAGTTATGAAGTAGCAACGAAAATAATTTTATGGTTGGGTCACAACATGAGGAACTGTATTTAAAGGGACAGAAGGTTGAGAACCACTGCTCTAATGACTGGCTGTATGGCAACCTCTTTGATTCCTCAAAGCAATTTCCCCATCTCTTTGCACCCAGAGGGAGGATTCCCTAGAGATAGATTGCCCATTTCCCACCCACACTCCAGTGATTCTTATATTTATGTTACAGACAG